CCACAACAGTCAAAGAAATCCCAAGGAAAATGTTACAGATAAAAGCGGGGGTATCTTGCTTCTTGAATGCAATGTGTTATAAAATAACAATAAAACAGTATAGAATTAACTAAAACACGTAGCAGCCCAAGAAACAGAAATGAGACCAGAAACAAACCCACACATATTTGAACAGTTAATTTATAGCAAAGGAGTGATGACCTTAATACAGGAGAAAAGAAAGCCTCTTCAATAAATGGTAAAACTGAACAGCCACACACACAAAAGAAAACAAACACAAAACCCTTGCTATTTAATACCACTCACAAAAAGTAACTAAAAAATGGTTTAAAGGCCTGGATATGTCTTTTTAAATTAGACTGTTTCAAGGATTTAATCCAAGACCTCATATATGTTTTACACTCCCAGCCTGTATGTAAGTCTCAAAATCATAAAATATACTCAAAAAGATTACTATAATATGTAACCAACAGAATTCTACATTGTAGGCTGTTGTATAAACTTGGTTAACCTTACCCTTATAGTCATTGAATAAGATACTGAGTAAGATCCATTTTTGGATTCTGGTTACAGACATATCTGTATAAGAATCTGACAAAGGAAACAAACGTGAAAATAAATAAATGAAACTGTATTAAATGAAGGCTTTGTACAGCAAAAGAAGTCACCATAGAAAAAATAAAAATGTTACTTACTGACTGTGAAAAGGTTATCTCTACATCATCCACCAAACAAGGGATTGATATGAAAAACACATAACAGAATTCAACAATAAAAACATATCAATCCAACAGAAGAAATGGGCAGGAATTCTGAATGAGCACTTTTCCAAAGAAGACATACAGAAATGTTGGGAACATTAAGAAAGATTAATAAGGTCAGCATCACTTATTATCTTTGAGGACACACCGGGCTGTGCTCAGGGTTTACTCCTAGCTCTGTACTCAGGGATCATTCTTGAGAGGCTCAGGGGACCATACAGGGTGCTGAGATGGCCACTTGCAAGCCAAGCACACTACTTTCTGCTCCAGCACCCACAACATCACTTTCTATGGGGGAAATGCATATCAAAACCAAAATGAGTTATCTTATATTGTGAGAAGGGCCTATCTGCATCTCCAAGGATGTGAAGGAAAAAGAACTTCTATTCTGTAGACTGGGATATAAATCGGTACATTCTCCATGGAAAATACTATGGTGATTTCTTTAAAAAATGTTGGGTAGAAAGATAGAAATATATAACCCACCAACATCATTCCGAGGTAGTTACCTGAAGAATATGGGAACGCTAATTCAAAAATATGCACACCTATGATCATAGCAGTTCATTTACAATAGCTATGAAGCAACCTCAATGATAACCCACAGATAACTGAGCCAAGTTGTGGTGCATCTTACTGAGTGGACAACTACTTAGATGCCATGTTGCCCGTTGTGACAATGTGGCTGGAGCTCTAGAGATTATGCGATGCAGTTAAAGGAAAGACAAATAGCAGATGCTTTTACTCATGTGTGAAAAATATAAATAACCAAGGTAAATGAATCATTACAAAAACAACTCAGAACTCTTAAAAAAAGGAGAAAGAAAAAGTGACAGCTACCTGGGAAGAAGGGTATGGCGATGGGGAGCTCCATCTGGTTTTCTTTTTTGGGGCCCACCTGGCAAAGCTCAGGGGCTGCTCCCAGCTCACTGTTGGGGGCAGGGGTCACTAATGATGGTGCTCAGGGGACCATGTGTTGCTGGGGACTGAATCTAAGCCTTCTGCGTGCAAAGCCTGTGTTTCAGTCCCCTGGGGAGTCAGTGTGGTGACAGGACGGCCACTGGAGCCTACAGAGAGGCTTGTACATGCAAAGAGATGTGAGGCGATACTCTCCAGATTTATACTATATTGTAAACCAACAGTAAATCAAGGAAGTAGTAACAATTTTTTGGGAAAAAATGCCAGGTTCATACAATTATCCAACAGCGGGTAGGGCGTCTGCCTTGCACGCAGCCAACATGACCGACCCGAGTTCGATTACTCCGCCCCTCTCGGAGAGCCCGGCAAGCTACCGAGAGTATTCGATATGCCAGACACAGTAACAACAAAGTCTCCAATGGAGACGTTACTGGGCCCGCTCGAGCAAATCGATGATCAACGGGAGGGCCTTTACTTTACTTTAGTCAGATCTAAAAAAAAAAAATGTCTATTGTGGTTTTCAAATGCCACTCATGGGACTGGGGTTATCTCAGTTAACTCTGGGTATCTGTGGAGGCTGTGGAACTTCTGCTTCCTCTTCAGCTAGAACTGCCCCCCTTCTAGTTGTTATATTATTGGAGATGCCCATAAAGTGAATATGATGTCACTTGAAGGAAAGTTTTCACTTTTGGAGAAAAATCCTGAAACAGAAACTTAACAAATAGTCCAGTTTAAAATGATACCAAGCTTCTTTCCACTCTGGAGAAGCCTGTGTTCTCTCGTGATCACCTGTATCTCCTTCTCGCCTCTCTCATTTCTCTAAGAAAATGTCACTTTCACTTAATAAAAATATTCTGCTTAAAGTTATAAGAAAATATGACACCAAATGTAAAAAAACTCCGATGGTGAAAATAAATTTGATTTACACTTTCAAGATTTGGTCTGATTTGTTTGAGGGCCACACATGAACTGCTCAGGACTTACTTTTGACCCTGAGCTCGGGGTAACTTATGGGGTGCTGGGAATTGAACCCATTCGCAGGTGAATGCCTTACTTGCTGTACTCTCTGGCTCTACCTTCAAGATTCTTTAGCTGGTTAGACAAATTTATGAAACAGTTTCCGAAGGCCAAAGAAGAAACAAAAGCATCACAGGAAAAAGTACTGTATCTTTTCTAGAGGAAGGGTGTTATTTTGTCATTTTTCTTTCTTTCTTTTTTTGGGGGGGAGGGTAACACCTGGTGATGCTCAGGGGTTTCTCCTGGCTCTGCACTCAGGAACCACTCCTGGTGATGCTCAGTGGATCATATGTGATGCTGGAGATTGAACAGATGTGCACAAAGCAAGCACATTACCTACTAGCTGTACTATCTTTTTGGCCTTATGTTGCCACTTTTTTTTTTTTAATGATATTGGTACCCATAAAAATCTTCTGAAATTCTCTTTAGAAAGAGTTGGAGAAATTACAAATTGAACTTTGGACAAGCCTTTCACACTGGTCTCTGTTTGTTTAGGAAACAAAAGGATTTTACAAAAGAACCACATTCCATGATAAATATGTTTGTTCTGGCTTAAACATAATCATTTCCTCAGGAAGTCTGATTCAGATAAAGCATCTTAAGAAATTCAAAATCACTTAGCTGGCTGTCTTACCACTCTCTGAATTCCATGAAAATATATTTAAATTAACACTTTATAAGTGTTTCAAACTCTGTTATTTTATGGCCTCTACTCCTATTAAGCGTTAAAGCATTTTAATGAACTACTTACACATACGCACTCTCATAGAGAGGTTGGCTTACAATGTTAAATTTTAAGTGTAAACTTTGAACATATTTTTCTCTTATTAAAATTAAAAAATTTTAATTTGTTTTGAATATAGTTCTAGATCCTAAACCAATGAACAGAGAGGAGAAAATGCATTTACAAGTGAGGCTTTGGGGCCAGGCTTATTTAAATTTCCATCCCAACTCTGCTTCTTGAACTCTACGAGTTATTTCACTTCTCTCTACGTTTTATATCTCTGCAAAGTGGTAATGGTAATGGCCTGCCATCGGGCTGTGACGACTGCAGGAATTAATGCATCATAAGTGAAGCACCAGAGGTGCTCAATAAATCTTACCCAGTGAGTCATTATTAACTAGTTGGTTCCCTAGGATAACCAGAACATATCTGCTCAGTTTAATGAACTGTTTGAGTTAAAATAAAGGTTGCTATCAGGGCTGGAGAGATTGAACAGGAATTGAGGCATTTGTCTTACATGTGTCAAACCCCATTCAAACCCCAGCACCCCATCTGGTCTCCCAAGTACCACCAGGAGTGATCCCTGAGCACAGAGCCAGGAGTAAACCCTGAACAAAACACAGTGTGGTCCCAATTCCCCAATAAAGACAACGTAAATAAACAAAAAGTTGGCTGAGTATTTTTTGCAACCAGAACAGAATAAAATATATTCAATATCCCGCTGGTCCTAAGTCCACATACTTTGGGGGTAAAAGGGACATCAGACAGTTTCACTGACATCAGTTTCACTATTTCTTTTTCTTTCTTTCTTTCTTTTGTGCCACACCTGGTCGTGTTGGGGTTACTCCTGGCTCTGCGCTCAGGAACCACTCCTGGCAGGCTGGGATGCTGGGGGGGGGGGGGTGGGGGTGGGGGTGGGGGGTGGGGGAGGAAACCAAATGCCCTGCCTGCTATACTATCGCTCAGGTTCCTCATTGTCTTTATTTCATGGCTGAAGATCTCTCAAAGCACAGCCAGGATGCGGTTGCTGCCTTGGGGTACTCAATGGGCAGGGGGGGGGGGGGTAGATGGAGCACACTTTCATTATAAGAATGTCCCCCTAATACAGGGGTGGGGGTAAATCTGGAATGATGGAGGGAAGGAAATGAATGGGAGTCCTTTTCCGTGTATTGGGGGGCAGGGGAGCGCTCTCTCTTAGGTTGATGTCCAGGGGGCACTGAGTAACTTTCTTTTCTGGAAATGGGGGCAGTCGGCCAAAATCATTTTGGGAATCTGCATCATGGGTGCCGATCAGTATCAAGCCAACACACCTGTGGCTGGAGCGCTCTGTGCCAGTCAAAAGGATAAATAAGCGCATGTGCCTATTTGGAACTGTCAACATTTGCTTTGGAACCTCATGTTATTGCTTATTAGAGGATAGAAAATGCTTGCCGTGGGGGGGGGGGGTGTACGTTTGCCTTCACATCTCTCCCGACTGATACTGTTTATTGAAAATGATAAGGAAGGGCCAAACTCATTCACCACCACCCAGCCCACATGGATGGAACAACGGACCCCTTGGGAGGCGCCTGGTTGCCATATGCTGCGGATAATCAACTTTTTATTTTAAATGATAAAAATAAAGATTATACTCTGCTGGAAAGTTTGAAGTAACATAGAAAAATGTTCTCAGTTACACAGAAAAGTCTCGCGTTGCCTCTCCCCCAGGTATGCGCTGTGGCTGTGAGCACTTTCTCCAGGTGGTGTGGGGGAGGAGGTAGGCTGTGACTTCCTGCGGGCAGGAGAATCTGCCCTACTCTGACTGACGGTTTTTCTTCTTGTTGTGGCTCTCAATTGCCCTCCTGAGGGCTTCATCCTGGACGAGATCAGACAACCTCATGTCTTCATGGCTGCAGCCAATTTTAGGGCAACTGGGAAGGAGAAAAGAGCAACAAAGTTAAACTCTATTACCTTCAGCAAAATCTCTGAAATGAGGGTGGGCCCAGAAAGGTAGTGCAGGAGTTATGGCGCGTGCATTGGGTAGCAGACCCCAGTGCAGTACTTGGCACTGCACAGAATCCCCTTAGCACTACCAGGAGTGATCCCTGAGCACTACAGGTTTTGTCACTCCCCTCCCCCAAAGAAAGTATTCAAATGAGGGCCAGAGAGATGGCTCAATGGACTGGGAATAGGCTTTGTATGCCAAAACACACAAATAAATAAACTAAAAGAAAAAACCCAGAACAATAAAAACCAACAACCAAAACAGACCCCTCAAAACTAAAACAAACAAAACAAACCCTGAGATAACACCCAACTGCTTCTGGCTACTACTTAATCTCCTTAAGGGCCATGACCCAGAGACACACAAAAGAATCTTGGAACCTAGCAGCTCATTGCACAGATCTCTCCAGACCCTAATGACTAAAATTTTAGAATTTTAGGGGCGCAAGAGGGGCTGCAACCTCATATCCTATTCATAACAAGCAATACAAAATAAATTGTCTAGCATTGTCTTTTCGGCAGGTGTGAGTGGTGGTGGAAAAATTTCAAATAATAATGGTGTTGAAATTTATTACTTTATTACTGAATGTAATAAAGTAGAGAGTATTGTGGAAATTGTCTACCACACAGGCAGGAAGGGTTGGGATGAGGGGATACTGGGGACTTTGGTGATGGAAAATGTGCACTGGTGAAGGGATGGGTGTTTGATCATTATTATGAATGAAACTCAAACATGAAAGTTTTGTAACTGTATCTCATGGTGATTCAAAAAACAAAAAACAGGGTGGGGATGGGAGGGTTGCCAAGTGGGGGCAGAAGCTCCATACACAGTGCTTACGGCCTGTACTAGCTTGATTCCTCCCATTCACCCCCACAGAGATCGTTCTCATGGTCTGACAGTGGCTCACTTCTCTCTCTCGTGCACACAGGCGCATGCACACAAGCCTTCTGAGTGATGGCCCTGTGCTTGGTGCTAACTGCCCAACTGTGCAATGCAAATACAGGCTCCCGCCCACACACAGCGCTGGCCCAGTGATTCGGGACAACCCAGAAGTACACAGTTATTTTAAGATAAAAGATGACAAATACAAGATAGGACCAAAAATAGCCACTACAAGATCTATCAATCTATATCTATATATATCTTGCGTGAGGAGAACTTTGCCCAAGGAGAAGGGGCTCAAGTGTAGGGGCTTCATCACTACACACACACACACACACACACACACACACACACACACACACACACACCCCTCAAGCAGAGGGGAAAGAGAGAACCTTAGACATTCTTATTTGTGCAGCAGAATCAAGCCCAATGGGTCAACACAAAATAGAAACTCCTTTTTTGGGCCCTGCTCTCTGATCAAGGCGGCTCCATATCAGAGTGGAATTAATCAATAGAATGACTAATGTGCTTGCTAACAATGTTTATTTTTAAACTCTGAAACGTAGGCTGGGGAGATAGCTCAGAGGGCACATGCTTGGCATGTGGGAGGCCTCGGTTTGATTCCGGGCACCACCTGGTCCCCCAAGCCCAGCCAGGGTGGTTTTCTCCAAGCACAGACTGCTGGGTGGGCCTTTAGCATCAACCTGAAACCAAAATTCAAAGTGCCCTGCAGTGTGGTCAGGGACATACGGCTAAAGGAGGATTCTAGACCAGCAACCCTGTGGATGCGAGCAGAGTGAGTTGGCTTTCTTTGTCTTACAGCAAGGAGTAGGAAGGCTTGAGAAATGTTTTATTCTAGTTCCTAAGCCCTGAGGTCTCAAGGCAAATGAACGCTTTAAGCAGAGTACACAACTCAGTTGGCTACTGGGAAAGACCATCTCCGGAGTTCAGAGAAGGCATTTTTCATCACCCATGGGATGTGGAACTAACCAACCCCCTCGACACTGCCCCACTTGCCCTGATTCTTCTCTGACTATTGGGGCTGCACCACAGCCCCTAACCCCTGGGCCCGAAACAAAGACTCACACCAAAAGACCCCAACAGTGATGAAGCTTCAGAGAGGACGTGGACAGTGAACAGGAATACTTCCTGGTGACGTCAGTGGGTTCAGCCTGCCCATGAAAGTGCCAAGACGGTCCGAAGGGACCGGCCGCAGTGCTCAGCAGTCAGGTAGGCGGCAGTCTCAGGGATGGAGCCCTGGGCAATTTGTGCTCCACGAACGGGTCGGGTTCATGAAGGGGCTCAAGTGTAGGGGTTTCATCATCCCACATCGTTTCCCCCAAGGGCGACAGATGACACAAAGCTCCAGAGTCAAAAACACCTGGGGTACCAGCGAGAGGGTACAGTGGGTGAGAGGCATGCCTTGCTGATCCATGTTTGACCCCTGGCACCCCAGATCGTCTCACGAGACTGCCAGGAGTGATCCCTGAGCGCAGAGCCAGGAGTAAACTCTGAGCACTGTTGGGTATGGCTCAAAAAGCAAACATAATATTATATTATAAAAATACTTGGGCTCAGACCTCCTGGCTATGAGGCTCGGGAGTGACTTCATTCCAGGGCTCGTCTCTCCCTGAGAGAATCGGGACAGTGAGTGACCAGCAGGTAGCACTCACAGCAGGTGCTATGGATGGTTCAGTGGGTGCTTCTGGCACTAGGTTGAGGTTTCCCCCGAGTAGCTGGTGGACAGCGGGGGGTGGGGGGGGGAAACAGTGGTGCTAGTGCGGTCCAGACTTGTGGGCATGTGGAGGAGGCATTTCCGATACAGCCCCTGGAGGAGAGGTCATGGAACGGCTGTTCCATGGGAGGGCCCCATGGTGCTGAGTGCTCAGGCTAGAGGTGCTGGGTGGGGCACCAGAGTCACAGCAAGCAAAGTGCTGGGGGCCTCCAAAACTGTGCCCAGTGGGACGCAGGGGGCCATGCAATGCCAAGGATGAAACCTGGGGCCTTGCATACGTCAGGCCGTGTCCCTGCCTTCCTCCCCACCCCACTCCAAGTGTCTACCAGGCCCCTCCAATAAACACATTTGAAGCTCAGAAGGCTAAGGCCAGGCCCCAGTGACCTGCCACTGACTCAGGGCGCTCCTCCAGAGACACGAAGCATTAGTCCTAATCCCCACAACATCCTGGTGAGCAAGAGGGGTGTGGTGAGCCCCAGTCTTAAGCTCTCCCTCTTGCTGTGCCGGGAGTCAGACCTGCAGGCCCTGAAGGGGCTGGGCGCTCGGGTCACTGGCGGGGCAGAATGTTCTAGTGCGACAGTGGGCAAGTAGGAAGGTGGAAGATGAACTCGGAGGCTGACTCTTATGGGTGCCTACGGGACCTACCCTACTGGCCTCAGCATAGGCTTGAAAGTTGAAGAAACTGATGTTTTTGTTTGGGGGCCACACCCGGAGGTTCTCAGGACTTACTCCTGGCTCTGCATTCAGGGATCATTCCTGGCAGGCTTGGGGGACAGTGGAGGGTGCTGGAGTTCAAACAGCCTGGACTGGCTGCATGCAAGGCAAACACCCTCTCCCCTGTACTGGCTCTCTGACCCCCTGAATGTTTTTTTTGGGGGGGAGGATGGGGGGCACATCAGGCAGTGCTCAGGGCTTACTCCTAGCTCTGTATTCAAGGGATCACTCCTGGCGGTGCCCAGGGGACCCTATGTGGTGCTGATGATCAAACTTAGGTCAGGCAAGCAACCCACCCACTGTACAATTGCTCTGGTCAAGATTCTGAATCTTTTGGGTTTCTGGGCCCCAAGAATTCCAGTCCATTCTTTAGGAGCTAGAAGGAAGGTCTGTAGCTACTTCGAGAAATATGAGTGGGATGGATTCTAGCATGCCTATACCCAGATCGTAGAGCTGAATCTGCCAGAGCGGGTCTCTAAGCAGGGAGGCTAAGTCATAGCACTAACAGTCTCGACCTAAGCACGCTGCTATTGCTCAGTGCCCTGTGGTCCCCAAGACTTTCTCGAGAGTGGTCTGTTCTTCATTGCCATGGAATCTGTGGGCCCCGACCAAGGCTGGAACTCACAACACCCACTGCCTCTCACCTTCTCCATTTCTTCAATTCTTTAATTCTGAGAGATGTTATTTGCTCTTTACAGGTAAAAAGACTGGGGGTCTCAGAGATGAAGGAATTTGATGAATGGTAGAACAGGGAATCCAAACACAAAGCCAGGGTTCTGCTATCCTGGATATGTTTCCAGTCCCTTCAACTTCATGTTCCCTGCTTTCCAACGCAACCATTCCTTAGAGATCAATCCTGCTCTTAAGAAAGAAACGGCTTGTGGAACACTGGAACTGCTTTGATACTATGAAAGCAGAAGATAGCTCACAAGGAGATTTATTTCAGGACTCTGCTTAAACTGTTGCATTTACTTAGGGCTGAGGCCACCATGATGTTATTGGGCCTGCAGCCAGCAGCCAGTGCTTCCTAGAGACACATGCATGCCCAGTCACACCGTTCCAGTGACACGTGAAGCACCTGGAATTCCTGTCTGACCATTAAAGACACAGGCAGTGGGAGAGGAGGAAGGGAGCTGTCTCCAGTATGACATGTCATAGACATTTTATTTTATTTTGCTTTTTGGGTCACACCCAGCGATGCACAGGGGTTACTCCTGGCTCTGCACTTAGGAATTACTCCTGGTGGTGCTTGGGGGATCATATGGGATGCTGGGAATCAAACCCAGGTTGGCTGTGTGCAAGGCAAATGCCCTACCCACTGTGCTATTGCTCCAGCCCCATTTTAAACAAAGGTGACTGGGGACTGCTCATATCCTTAACATGCTTGAGGGAAGTGACGTTGCTTTGTTCCTTGCTGCTTGCTCAGGAGCCTCCGGAATAGGCTCTGAAGAGGCCCCAGATTTGACAACTGGTTCCCACGTTGGCTGCCAAGATGCTCAGTTCCTCCCCTCCTTCTCTTCCCCTCACTCCTGCCTATTACACAAGTACTATGACAGTGTTTTGCTGGAGCTTCTTCCTCTGACTGCCCTTTCACCAATGAGCCAGACCACCTGGGCCCGGTGCTGACTGCTCTACTCTGGGCAAGTGACTTCACTGTCCCACCTCTTGTCTTCGCAAGTGCCTGGCCAGTGTCACGACAGAAGCTCTCTCCTGAGTCTGAGCCCCATGGTTTCTGCGCCTCCTGGCTCTTTCCAGATGGGGTGCTGCTGGGACTCACACAGTGCCTTCCTAACAGGCTCGTTTCCTCTGCCACCTGCAGGCTGGCCACATGGCCCTTCCTCCACAGGTGCAGTGTACCAAGGACAGTCATCCATCCCTTCTTCCTCTCAACCTGTTGGCAGTAATTTGTGTGCATGATTCCTCCAGAAACACGCCCATTTTCATTCCCTTCTACTCTTGCCTCAAGACAAGTTCTCATCATCTATAATCAAGTGCTCAGCAAAAGGAGCCTGCCACTTTCGCCTCATGTCTTTTATTGTTTTGCTTTTTGTGTCATACTCGGCAAAGCACAGGGGTTACTCCTGGCTCTGCACTCAGGAATTACTCCTGGTGGTGCTCAGGGGACCATATGGGATGTTGGGAATCGAACCCGGGTTAGCCACATGCAAGGCAAACACTCTACCCGCTGTGCTATCACTCCAGCTCCATCTCATGTCTTTTTGTTGTTGTTAGTGGTGGTGGTGGTGGTGTTGTGTGTGTGTGTGTGTGTGTGTGTATATGTGTGTGTGTGTGCGCGTGCGTAGGCGCACAGGACATCGGGGCCCCACTGGAGATTCTCAGCCATCTGGGTCCATGGTTGTGCTAGAGGATGTGGTGCTGCTTGAACCTTGTGGAGCCGGGGATACTCAAGACTACCCAGTGGTGTTGGATGGGACTATGTTGTCCCAGGAATCAAATCTGGGTCAGGTACATGTTGGGCCTGGCCCTTAACCGCCATACATCTCCTGGGCCCTCCTCTTATGTTTTTTTAATCCATTCCTTAAATTGCTATCGGGGTAACTCTGCCAACTTGGTTGTTTAACCTTATTCCCTCCAAACTGCAATGTTCTCTCATGTCTATTAAATACTGTGGTAAGAATGAGGATGTTGATATAATGTGTGCAGAATCTTACCATGTGCCATTAAACATTATGTATATCTTATTCAAATTTTAAATATATCATTGGGACAAATATTATCAACCTTTTGATGAGGAAACCAGTGAAATCAGAACCCTGAAGAGCCTCCACCATGAGCTTGCACACACAGCCATCCATTCCCCCATAACTCCATCCCCCGCACAAATACACACAGACACACAGACACAGACACAGACACAGACACAGACACACACACACACACACACACACACACACACACACACACACACACACCAAATCAGAACAACAGCCTCTTCACAGAGCAAGTCTCTTGTCTAGAAAGAATGATCTTCACCAGTTCACTGAAATCCTTTATATTTTTCAAGTGGCAACTACTTTGTCTGCAAGCTCTCTGGGATTCTTCCACTTTGAAATAATCATTATTATTATTGATCCATGTAAGCTACATGGATCTGTAGATTTTGTATCAAAGTTACAGAAGGGTGATAGAAAAAAAAAAAACTCTTTCTAAATGACAAATGTTACCAAAATAACCCCTTCCAAATATCATGTGCAAATATCATGTACAATTCAAAAAAGGCAAAGGACATTAGAAAGTCAAAGTACATAATAAACAAAACACATTTAAATGTGAGTCTGTTCTGAAGCTGCTCATACCAATCCAGGACTCAGGAGAAATGTGCTTTGTATCAGTGCCTGCCCTTTTCGAATCTGACTTTTGGAGAATACCACAAACTTTAAAGACAGAAGGGCTGTGAAACAGGAAACTAGCTGGAAATACCTTTTCTTAGAAATTTATGCTACTCAAATAAAATTTTGTATTTTTCAGAGAATGAACATGAAAAAAGGGGTGGGGTGGCTGGGAGGTAGCTCACGAGGCGAGAATGCGTGATGCTTGGCATGTGGTGGGAGGCATAGGTTCAAGCCCTGGTGCTTCATGGTCCCATGAGCACCGTCAGGAGTGATCCCTGAGCATCCAACCTGGACACTTCAGTGGAGCCAAAACCCAAAATTAATGGAAAAATAAAAGCAGAGAGAGAAGGCTTGAAAGCCTAGAAACAAAGAATATTATTTTCATGGGGAAAAAAATGGAAGTTTCACTAGGGAAATATGACATCTCACCTCTAAGTTGGAAGCTCAAAACAGATAAACATGCACTCAAACAACCTCAATTTTGCAACCATTGGTTAGTTCTTCCAGAACAAATAGGATAAATTACTTGACTGAATGACCCTCAAGATAACTCAAGTCTCAAACACCCTATCTCTCTGCCTCCACACCCCAGGAGGGGTGGGAGGGTGGCGGGGAATTCCAATTCCAGGTCTGGACCAGCTAATTTCTAGGCAATGAAGAAAACCACACATCAAAGGAACTGTTATCAGAAGCCCATAGAGAACTGGTCACACCTGCAATTCCATTCCTTCAACAAATCTGTGATAAGAGCAAAAGAGAGGCCAAAGTCAGTCTAGCCAACTCAAGATTCTGTCACGACAGAGACAGAGCCGTGCCTTCCATGGGCTCAGGGAGCAGAATCAACAAAAGAAACATTCCCCAAACATTCTGATAAAACAAAGTTCCATCAAACAATCACTTGTGGATTTACCTAAAATTGCTGAGAAATTATTGAAGCAATTAAAAATATGAAAGGCTTTCTCTGACAGTAGAATCTTGATCATTCTGACCAATGGATGCAAATTCTTATAATGCTGATTTTATGTATATATATATATTTTTTTAAAAACAAATACCCTGCATTACAGGAAAGAAAAAAAAACCCACCAACAACATTTTCACCATTTCTTCCTGTCTGGGTAGACATACTTATAAAGGGATAAAGAAATCTTTCAGGGCTGGAGAGATGAGAGTGGTAAGGCACTTGCCTTGTATATGGTGAACCCGGGTTCGATCTCCAGAGCCCCACCAGAAGTGATCCCTGAGTGCAGAGTCAGTGGTAAACCCTGAGCACCACCGGGTGTGGCTCAAAAGCAAAAACAAAACAAAAAGGTCTTTAGGAAAAATTTTCCTTTTTTTTCCCCCCAGGCTGTACAAATTCATAAAAATTCCAGTTATCTAATGATTAAAATTCAACCCAATTCCTTTTTCTCCTGTTTTGAAGGTGTGGCTGACATTCCCTCAGCTTCTTCCTGAAAGGATTACTAATGTTCCCCTCACTTATTGTTTTTTTCCAGAAAGCCAGCTTCCATGTTTACACGACTGGGAGGTGGATGTCCTGGGGGAAGACGCTGAAGGGTCGTTTCCTCAGCACACACCGCCTCCCCCCCCCATTACTGCTAGTGGCTAGCGAGGCTCTACTTCCCTTCGGCACCAACTCACCGGGCCTTTTTCTTCCGCTTCTGCTTGAACTCAATCATGCGAACAATGGCTTCCTCTTCATAGGTGTGGCCACAGACTTTATTTTTCATCGGCCTCTTCATTTCCAGCTGCAATCAAGGAGACATGAGGCTTTTAGGAATGATAAGGATCAACTTCCAGTAACTTCTCTAAGTCACCAACTATTTGGTGCTGATTTTTCCTAGACCAGAGCATCTATGGTTTTTTTTTTGTTTTTTTTTGTTTTTTTTTGCTTTTTTGGGTCACACCCGGCAATGCACAGGGGTTCCTCCTGGCTCTGTGCTCAGGAATTACCCCTGGAGGTGCTCAGGGGACCATATGGGAAGCTGGGAATCGAACCCGGGTTGGCTGCGTGCAAGGCAAACGCCCTACCCGCTGTGCTATTGCTCCAGTCCCCGCATCTATGTTTTAACTTCCCAAAGTCAGGGCTTTAGATGACCACAGAGGAAGTGAATAGAGACCAGTGGCAACAGTGTCACTAGATCTATGAGCCATACATTTATAATCAAATTCTTCAACAAAAAATGAAGAAAAAAATTAGGCACTGTGATTTACAATCTTTTCAGTAATAGTGCTTTAGGCCTACAATGTTCCAACCTACCAATCTCAGTGTCTCTCTTCCAATGTCATAAGGTCCCCTCCCATCCTTATCAAGCTCATTAAAAAAAATATCATTAGAGTGACCCGAATCCTTAACCAATGCTCTTATGTTTCTGCCTGAACTTTTTGGTTGCTGTTGTTGGTTTTTGGGCCCACCTGGCTACACTCAGAGCTTACTTCTGGCTCTGGGTTCACTCCTGGTGATGCTCAGGGGACCACGTAGGGTTCTGGGATTGAAACCTGGTATCTTTTGAGTACAAAGCAAGCACCTTACCTGCTGTACTATCTCTCTGGCCCCAACCTCTTAAATTCTTAAGGGTACAGTTGACTGAAAATTTCAGACTGAAAACCTTCCATGCATACTCTTTGACCCTCATTTCCTCCCTCTATACCTCCAGGGATAAAGTCTACTCAGAAAGGGAAACAGTTAATATTTGCTCTGTGTGAAGTGAATTGCCTTTCCTTCCCAGGGCAGTAGGAAAAAGGAAACAGTACCTGTGTAATAGGGCAGATAAAGTTGGTCTGACTTTGGGTTACAATCATGTCTTCGTCAACTCCTTCTGTTCCATCAGCTTCTCTGTCAGTCTGAAGACCATCTAGAGGAGAAAAGAAAGTCACTGAGTCTCTCTCACAGCCAGTGTGCCAACAAAGGGGTGGAATGGAGAAAGGAGACAGTCTCTCAGGATCTATTTGGTGGCAGTTTGTGTGCTACAACTTTGATATATAGGAGCTCTTGTGCTTCTGAAAGAATTCTGCAGTGAAGGGAGCGCTTCCCCCAGTGTTCAGGGTGAAACTGAGGCTGAAGGCCAGCAACTTCACTTTTCAGAGTTGCCGAGAAGTAATTTGTGGGCCAGTCCTGCTCAAGCATCAGGTGTGTGTGACTGTGTCACCAGAACACCCTGAGGAGCTCCCTTGTTTCTAGCAGTGGCACCGTCTCAGGCCAGCTAGGTCTTGTTGTCAAGGTCATTTTTTTTGTTGTTGTTCTTGTGGTGCCTGGGCTTGAACCCAGGGCTTCACAAATACATGGTATATGTTCTACCACCGAGCCACATCCCTGGTTCCTTTCTAGATTTTTTTTTTTGTGGGGGGAGGGCAGGGGAGCCAAACCCAGTGGTGTGTAAAGCAAGCGGGCCATCTGCTGTGCTATTGCTCTAGTCCTGCAGACTTTTAAAAAGAGCCCTCTATTCTAGGACTAGAGAATAGCTCAACAGGTTCGGCACATGCAGGAGGCCCAGATTTGACCCCTGGTATCATGTGCATGGTCCCGTGAGCACTGCCAGGAGCCAGTCTCAAGAACAGAGCTGGGAGCTGCATTTGAGCAATGCCAGGTGAGGCCCCTAGAGCAAAAATAAATACATACAGAAAATAAAATCTTCTGTAGTCTTTTTGGCAAATACTGAACAAGATGAATATGACGTGCTGTGTATAGTTCCTGGCATAAGGAAACAGTCCCTACATAGCAACTATTGCTATGTTGTACCAGGGTTTCCCCAAATTTTTCTGTCTTAAAACCCTTTGATCATACAGATACTAAGGACTCCACAGGACTTTTAAAATGAAGGTACTTTTAAAATGTATCACTTTACTAAAGCTCACAATGTTCCAACCCACCATCAATCTCAGTGTCTCTCCTCCAATGTCATAAGGTCCCTTCCCATTCCCAACACTGCATTCTTATCAATCTCATCAAAAAAATTAACATTAGAGAGACCCAAATCATTGACCAATGTTACTCCCTGAACTTTTTAATCAATATTTAATCTCAAGGGATTAAAAACACATATGACTTCTTTGAGTAACAGTAACCTCATTGCCTGCCAACACATATGCCATTCAAAGACTACAAAGCAATAGTACTTTCCAGAACAGAAAGCTAGGAATAAGAACAGTACTTTCAGATCTATCCCAAAGGTGAGATTTAAAAACAGAAATGTAGTAAGGGAGAGACACGCACAGAGCTGGGAATGGGTGACATCCCCACATCTCCCTGTGCTTCTGGTAGCCTGCCAGTCACACCCAACTACCTCTGGCACCATTTAAGCTCATTAATGGCCATGATCCAGACTCACGAATAAATCTTGGAGGAAGAAAGTAACACATTGCAGAAATGCCTCCAGACTCGGTGTGAGGCTGTCTCATCCGGGGTAACCTGGAGGGGGAGGTGGGTGAATCCCACCACCCACTCCAAAAGAGCCCCAGCAGCCAAAAACCTCCAGAACTCCATCACTGCCACGCTCACAGTCCATTTCCACAGGTTTGGCTGAGCCTTATCCATGAGGAAATCTGCTGAAAAAACCCAGGTATGTGGGATGTGGGACTGAAATCTCCAGGGTCGCATGGAGTCGGACATGCATGACCACTGGACCTTTGGACCCCAAAGTCACCATCTAGTTAAAAATTTAATTCTAGTTTTATCACCCTATTTAAAATCTTAGAATTCCTGGAGTGTGTGGCCTTAGTGCAACATCTCATACTCTATACAAGGGCTTAATGGCTCCAGGGTGATAAAAAAATCTTCACACACTTTCCTCTAGGGAACTTTTTTGGGATAATCTTCAGCAGATTCTTCGTAACAAGCAATACAAAATAAATTATTACAAAGTTCTGGTTTGGGGGCAGCCTTGGGGGATTGGCGTGGAATAATTCAGAATATGGTCATAGGAAGGTGTAATGGTGGAGGAATTGGTGTGGGAATGCTGAATGTAATCAATTAATGTGAACAACTTTATAAAAATTAAAAGAAAAAGTAAGGGTGAGACAAACGATCAAAGTCATGCAATGGAAATTCTATCTACAGAACTGATCTTACATGAAGAGGGTGTAATGGGGGATGGGAAGGGGTGCCTGGGACACTGATGGAGAGAATTGGGCTCTCTAGTAATGGGTGTAGGGTTGGAATGATGTATGCATTGAAATGTATGATGAACAATACTGTAAATCACAGTATTGCAAAGAAAATGATTTTTTAAAAAATGGCACTGTTTCATAGTACTGAACGTAATTTCAAAGTGTTGCTTACTAGGCTACAGACAGATTTGGATACCTGTGTGTGTACATCCATCTGCAGTGATGTCGCATCTTAGAGTCTCTGGGAAACTGCACTCAGGGACAGAACAGAACAAAGGGCAAGTGACATCTTAGCCCTGTGTGCATCTGCTGTGACTCTGAGCAGCTGAAGGCTCTCAACAAGCCCTGGGGGTCCCTGGCACACACTTGGAGAACTGCCGGGTGAGCACGGCGGGCTGGCTTTGAACCTGGCTGACAGGATTTGTAAATACACGATCTTTTCTTTTATACTGCATTCACCCTGAAGGAAGTCGAGGATACAGTAAGTGTAATGCACAGCCTTTCTTTTGGGAAAAGGAGGATTTGTCACTTTGCAAAGAAATCAAAGATGAGTAATTTTTAAAATACAGGTGCTGACATGCACAGAGTCCTTTTTTCCTTCCTCTCCTCCTTTCCTTTAATTTTGGGAAAATATATAGGTATTTTATTTCAGTGATTGTTTTGCTTACAGTGTGTGAAGGAAACCCTTCCCTCAGGCTCAGATAGTTCCTATGCATCATTCATATTCTAGAACTCACTGGTTCAGGCCTTTCACTATGGCCAGATGTCTTTCTGGAAAGATACTACAGGATTCAGGAAAAGGCCTAGAGAACATCTGTTCAAGAGTACTTAAATGCTGGAACCTAGCAATTGTGTGTGTGTGTGTGTGTGTGTGTGTGTGTGTGTGTGTGTATGTGTGTGTGTGTGTGTTTTACCAGGAGGTACCAACATTTTAGTTACTAGTGTTATCTGTGGGCAGCTTGTATTTTCTCAGAGAAATGTGCCCCCATTCCCATTCAAACAAGCTCTCATTCTCAAAGGTAAAAATAAGACCTCAGAACTAAAGCATTTCTTGGGCAGAACATTTCAAACCCTCGGACATTAAGGTCTGGAGCCTGGAATCTTTTCAAGGGCCTTGAAAAGTGACTAAAGCTCTGAAAAGCATTCTCCAGTCTCAAAACAGGAAAACAAGATTGAAGTTAATAAATGTTAAAGGTCTACACACTTAATGTCAGGTTAACTTTACTAATTATTGGTCTGGTATCCAAAATATTTCACTAGGAAGAAATAGGCTACTTTTAGGTTTTTCACTTAATAATTCCCAAGTGTGCTTCTAAAAGTATAGAGAAATTCACAGCCAATTACAAATTAAGTCATTTATCGGCAATCAACTTATTTCCAAAGCAAAATGGGGGGAAAAAGTCTAAAAAAGCTGTATTCAATGTGGTGGTAGCTTGCTAGGCTGTGGGGCAGGGACTCTGAGCAAATATTCCTCAGATGTAGGATGGTTTTTCTATGCTTCCCAGGACCTGGCTTTGGTAAAAGAGTCAGGCTCTTGAAAGAGGCCTTTTATGGGCCAAATTTGTCCTCAGGATGGCTCAAGAGGGCTGGGCAGGGAAGGGAGAAGCCAGCTTCTGTGTGCTGTCTAAAGGCCTTCCCCGGCGCTGCCTCTGCCCATTTCTGTTTGTGTGCTTCCTAGTCAAAATAAAGCACTTCTCTGTCAGAAAGGGCTTCCGTTGAGCCGAGAGCAGATTTCTGAGGGTCTGTGCTACCCTGTGTGGGATTTATTGGCAGGTCTGTTAGGCGAATAGTCCAGCCAATAGGAAAGGCTGTGGACTTAAAACAAAAAAGTTCTGATTAAAAAGTCTCAAAAGGTAGAGGAAGCAAGATGGTCCAACTCAAATGCAATGGCAACCACTAAGGAAGGTGGGTGGGGAACTCAGGAACTCGAGGTGGTTCTCAGCCTCCACCACCACGAAAGGAGGTAACAAAAGTGAAATTGAGGAAGAATGCCAACAGTGAGTAATAGCCAGCGAACCAGGAGTCTAAAAAGAAAAAGATTCTCAGCAACCAAACTGTTCTTGAGATAGAACATTTCCTCACCCGGAATCTATATTTATAGAAAGTGGTATTAACACTGGAATTCTACACAGTGCTAGCAGAAGGTCACATCTGGAAAAAAATATCACTTACACTACGTAGCTGACCCAAACAAGAACTTTCTGATAAGCTTGGTATAAGAAAGATTAGGGAGAAAAATAGGAATCATTTATTAGAAACACTAGAATTTACTAGAAGTTTTGAGACTACAGTTATTTTTCCCAGTTCTCCTGAAAAAAAAAGGGACTTGGAGACATAACAGGTTTTGTCTGAAGTTATGCAAGTATTTAGAAAATTTGTATACAGTCCTTCATTTTTGTTGTTATTGGCAGGATTCATGGGACCATATGGGGTACCGGGGATGGAACCCATATAGAACTTGTACACCCACAAAATAGTACAGACTTTGGGTCAATAAAGAGAATGTGATGATTTTGTTGCTAGAGCGTGAATGCCAAGAGGCATGAGAAGTCTTGAAAATCTGAAGTAATAATTAAGGGAAAAAATCAGGAATTTCCGTAAGTCACAAGAATTTCTCAGTGAGAAAGTAATGGAGGTCTTGAGGCCATCTGTTGACCCCTAAGATGTAGGCTCATGGTTAGAGGTTTCAAGTGAATGAAGAACTAAGTAGCTCTGGCTCACCCCAGTCACTGTCCACTCAGCTGCTTCA